AGTGACTCTCTGACAACCATTCCCTGAGTTTCATGGCTGTTGTGTTAAGGATGCACCAGAAGATTCTAGATGAAGACGAGTCCTACACAATAAGTTACATAAATACATTCTCTGTATTATCAAGTTGTTGGTAATTGTAAAAGAAGCTTGAGATACTTTCTTCTGATTCACTATTAGCATTGTTAGCTTTACGTTAGCCTCTAGGTTTATTTGCCCGATATTAGAGTGAAACAATATGATGCCGTGGCTTCTTAGCGGTACAAGAAAAAACTCCTGGGTCGCTCCTGTTTACTGGCTTATGATCTTTAAGCAACTCTGGAGCTTTTTGCCTGCCCTTATCAAGCTACTAATGATGGCGCAGACTTGACAACCCCCCCAGGCTCAACGATTGTTAACAATGACTACGCCTCTATTTGGCCAAAATGAAAGAAGAAAAACTGATCCAGCCAGATTAGAAGGAAATCTGATCCAACATGACTGAGACATTAGACTGTTTTTTGATTACTCCGCTGTAAAATTCTTACATATTTTACCTTTAATTAAGCATTGCCTTGGAAATTCTAAAATCCTAAGGTTCAACTGAAGTCAAAATGCAGTCAAATAAAAAAATGTGATGAGAATGTAGAAGTCATTATGACAGCTATGGTTTGATTGTTTTACACTATAATAAAAATTGATGTGCATAAATAGTAAATGTCTAATATTTTTGTGAGAAATAAGCATAGTTAGTTGTCTGAAAACTGTAAAATCACAAAATGTGCAATATTTCTATCAACGTATGGGTTGGATGGAGAAATAGAAAGCAACGTTACCTCAAATTCTGATTTACCTGCATTAAAATGAGCAAAATATTATTGCATCATGTTGCTTCTTCTGTTACCAGTTAATATTTGTGAGCACCTCTTATATTACACTCGATAACTAATTAGAAGATTTAATATTTTTTTTCATCTTTTTGTCTTATAATTTTGATCTTATAAAGCAATATGATGTAAATTGTGCCAATTTATTTTCATACAGACAAACAAGGGCAATTGTAGGCTTAAAATGGTATTAAATATATTTGACTGTGTGTACGAAACATTAACATTAATATAACAGTTGTATATTTTATGCTAGCATCCATTTGTCTTTTATAATGTAAATTTGTGTGCTTGTGACTAAAGATTATTGTCTTTGTTTTATTTTAATACCCAGAGTTTTGCTTATTGTGTATTGTGTACTTATTAATAAACAAACAACCATATTCTTTTCAAAGAAGATTTATTGTGACACATTTTGTTTGTTTATAAATTACCATTTAGTCACAGCAAAGGACAACATTTAAACACAAAAGCAGCCTGCTGTAGCTAGCGCTAACCATGGCCATGAATGTATCGATGCCCTACTGCGCGCTGGAAAGTGTAGCAGTGTCTACAACATATTGGATGGGTCCCTCACTCTCCAAACCCAATTAGAGTCAATGCAGGGTGAGCAAGTATGCCCGTTTTGTGCAGCCAACGATTGCAACAACCAGTGCACTATTGATAACAGGTCACGTGGGATTACTGTGGGCTTTTCTAGCCTACCTGCTGGGATTTTACATTTGAATATGTTTTGTCTATTTTATATTCATATTTTAATCATCATGCCATTCCATATGTATGATGGTCTGAAAGGGCAGAGTAAAATGTGATTTTTAATTGGGTAAACACCTTTCTGAGTAGAAATGAATGCACTGCGGGCGAATGGAAACCCATCCAAGATGGCATATGGCCACAATGGTAGTTCCAATAGGCAGTGATGTCTGTGGTGCTAGCAACAAGCTAACAATAACATGAGCCAACAAATATGAAGTAAAAAGATCCGTACTGTTGGACAAAACATATTATTACTTACAAGTTCAGTAGCAACAAAGCCAGGTCATCATTAGTCTGTGATTTTGTAGCCTCCTTTAGCTCCCACAAGCTAGTGTAGGCCGTGTTGATGTTCATGCTGGTTTCAGCTCTTTGCTTCACCTCATTTACTTTCACTTCCTGGCCCCACCATGATGCCAACAGAAAAAGCAAACTTCTTCTTTTTCTTCTTCTTGTGCTTTTTATTGACAAACAGCGAACTGAAAAAGCTAACCGCTAGCATAACAGCTAACAGCTGTAAAGCAGGTAAAGAGCTCCTCCTATAGAGCACCTACTCACCCCACAAAGATGTTGATTGCAGTGTCTGGTCAGTGGAGGCTGCAGAGTGGTGTCAACTATAAAACTGGTCAGGCTTCTAACTCAACAATCACTGAGATCAATGTTAAAGCTCTAGTTTAAACATTAAAAAACTAGCAATACCTTAAAAAGGCCGTGATTGGGCTCTTTTTTTTTTTTTTTTTTGGCAACCAGAGATGTTTTGGAGGTAGTCCACTTCTGAAACCTCCTCACTTGTTTTGGTGTGTTATTCTAATCTTATCCACATCTGCTTTTACATCATGTAGCCATGTTCCCTTGACTCAGATCAGATGTGTGATAGTGCTTATGAAACCAAAGTTTACCACCCGACAAGGCTGTAGCGTGCAAGTAAAGCACCCTCCTGCTGCCATGTCTGGTTCAAACAGAGAAGAAAAAAAAGTAATTCTGAAATAAATTTGTTTTCTTGAACTGTGCAACAACCAAAAGATGGATGTGAGGACATTCACAAACTATGTCTGCAGGAATAATGTCACCTCCTGCATGATTTATAATAGAGTCGGCATGCGGGGTTGATTAATCTAATAATGAAACATGATATCTCTCCAGCCCACCCGCTGTCGGTCATGACAGAAGCTGATAATTGGCCAGGAAATTAATAAGCTACATTGCGATTGGAGCGGCATCTGCAGCCACTGGAAGGGTCGTTTGTCACCCCCAGATTAAATCCGCAGACAGATGAACCTGTAGCAGTGAATCATGGGGAATTTTAAATGACATTCATGGAACAACAAAACAATTGCCCCTCGGGGGTGATTAAAGTTTTTTTGAATTTGAATTTGAATTTGAATGGAAATTCAACAAACCCTGTAGACAGGCTGGGTGTTTGCTCAGACTCAGGTTGAGGCAAAGCGAGGATGATTTTTCAGGATGAGGGGTTCTTTTAAAGAGCAAGTCACCCCCAAATCAACTTTTTTTTGCTGATAAACTATATAAATGTGTGTCTAATTGTGCTGCAGACATGTGTCGTCAATAATTTGGTACTTCAGTGCATCTTAGTTAAAATTTAAATATTCTGCCTAAAACTGTCAGTGTTGTGCCGTCGTCAGGTAAAAACTCTGCACTGTATTTGAATTTAAATCTGCCACCGCTATTGGCTAAGAGGTATGCTATGATGTAAACAGTACATTATGATGTCACAATGTCGTTGTGAGCCTGTGTGTATATTTGTTAGCGGCTCCGCCGTCTCGGTCTGCTAGGCAACAGCATTTGTTGCATTTTTCAAATATGAAGAGGGAGTGAAGTAAGTTTCTTGTAGGGGGTGACTTGCTCTTTAAGCGACTGTGTGGTAGTTGAGTCAGACAGACGTGTTTAATTATAAGTAAAACCAATCAGGATTATTTCAAATGTTTAAGATCAAGATGCTCCAGAAGGTTGTCATCAGGGCAAAAGCTCCTTCTTTAACTTAGCAGGTAAGTGGTTCAAGCTTCGAATGAATGCAGGTTTAGAAGAATGGGAAATTACACAAAACAAACAAACAAACAAAAATAAATGGACAAAAGCTAAACGTTCTCAGTGTGAGTGGCACAAAAACAGAACTGAAGCTAAGGCTCAGGGTTATTATTTTCACATCTATTAGTTGCTAATTGTTTATAAACGTCATTTAAAAATAAAATCTGGTTTGGAAAGATTGCAATTGATCAATAAACATTATCATGATAAACTGATATTCTGAGATTGCTTTGGAACTACCTCCTTTAGTTGATAGTTGTTTTGTTTTCAGATTATTATTATTAATAGTTTTAATACAAATTATTTTCTACAGAAAAGGAGGTGCAATGATCCACTGTGTCCACTAGGAGGAAGAAGAATGTCCTTTAAAAATACAAAAATCTTCCACAATAATGACTGAACAAGAATGTTTATGAACTGAAACTGAGCATTTGAGGCTTGAGTTAAATTTTTCTTGCAATCTTCAAAAGGTTTTATTGGAAGTAATTCACTACTTATCTGACAGTGTCCACAAGACCTAGGTCCCTGTGTGTAATAATACACTTTTAATTACTGTATACAGTTTCTCACTCTGGAATTTGGCATTTCTGCTGATGTGTTGTGTCACTGGTGACCTGTCCAGGGCCACAGTGTCCCCTGCCTCTCGCCCCCTCTCGACATATCGTATATAAGTCGATGCTCTCGCCTGTTGACTGTTGGCATTGGGCGTCAGTTCTCTGTGACCCTAGAGAAGAAAGGGTAGTTTGGATTCCCAAATGTGGGGTTGGCACCCCCTGTGGGTCTCCAAGAGCTACACAGGTATGATGATTTCCAGGAATCAACATAAAATTGAAAAACACACACTAAAGATATATTTTTTAGCATAAGTATTACAAAAACTTTACCAAAATGTCATAAATAGATATAAATGAATATGAGCTGACGCACCCAGCATAATTTCGCTTTCTAATCACAGATGGTCAGATCAGAGATTATGGAGATTGCTTGACAATTGTCATTCAGTTATCGTCTTCTCAGAAAGCTGCAATAAATGTTTAGTTTTTTTTTTGAAAGACTAAAAACTTCACACAGACTTACAGCATAATAATACATGTTACCATCCCACAGGCATCTTTTCACCATTTTCATCAACAGTTCTAGTTTTCTATAATGCTGTTTTGACAGTAACTTTAATTGTTATCACACTTTACAGATGCAACTGTAATCACCTTAAAAGGAAATGACGCGCTTACTGTGGTAATCTCTCTAATATCAACTTTATTTAGCCAAAAACAACCTTCCAAAAAACGTTGTATTTTGCCTCGCGCGCGCGCCCGATTCACAAGTCTGCGCACGCAAACGTCACGTCACACTGTCACGTGACTGTTCCACTCGCTCATATGACCGATGGATTCTCTCCCCAGCAGCCGCTAACTTTGCCCAAAAAAAGGGGAACATGGCGGATTTCGAGGAGCGGCGGGGCCTGTTGGGAGACGAGGCCGAGGGCTCGTCTACCGGCCGGAAGGCGGACCGAGGACCCGGCCGGCCGCTGGCCGCCATATGCGACCCCAGCCACTTTCTGCACCGAGTCGTTGTTTTGGTTTTCATGTGCTTCCTGGGGTTCGGTGAGAAGCTGTTGTGGAGTTTTTTTTTTTTTAGTTTAAAGTTTTCAAGACTCCCAAATATTTAAAAAAAAAAAACGTTTTTACCCTAAACGCTCCTGTGCTGTATTATTGTTTAGGTTTATCGTTTGGTAACGTTTGTTTCGTTTCAGGAAGCTACTTCTGTTATGACAATCCAGCAGCGCTCCAGACTCAAGTAATCCAGGTAAATGTCACAAACTATTATAATTAATACCAGGCTGAAAAAGCTGACTAGTGGATTTCTGTCAGCCCCGACAACTGATTTAGGGAAACAGCAGCCGTCCAATCAGAAGTGTCAGTCTGTCTCCTGATCATTAACCCGAGTCCTTCCCCCTGACTCCCCCAGGATCTAAACCTGAACACGGCAAAGTTCATGCAGCTTTACGCCTGGTACTCCTGGCCAAATGTGGTCCTCTGCTTCTTTGGGGGTTTTCTGCTCGACAGGGTTTTTGGCATCAGGTAGAGCAACAACAAAGTGTCCTGCTTGTTTTGGCGACACTTTCACCTAAAACTGAATGTTTATTTCTTTTGCAGGCTGGGAACCATCATCTTCTCCCTCTTCGTCTGTGTTGGACAGGTTGGTTTATTCTCTAATCTGTTTTTGAAATACAGATTTATCATAAAAGTATTGACTTTTTCCCAATATCCACATAGGTAATATTTGCAGCTGGAGCTTGGACCAATCACTTCTGGCTGATGGAAGCTGGACGTTTTGTTTTTGGGTAAATTATGGAAAATGAATGGTCCATTTTTAAGCTCACTGAGTTAAGATCATCATATCTGCACATTTACAGCCCTTAGCTAAAAGTTAAGTTAGTCCTTCAATTAGGTGTCTGTCGATTCACCATTTAATCAATGCATTGTGATGGGACAGGCCGGTTCTAAATCGATTTCTAAATAGATGTTTGTCAAAGTCTGAAAAACAACAGCAAAGCCTGGCTGGAAAACTTAAAGTTACACGTGCTGCCATGACACTGGGTGGCGGGCCATTGGAAAAAAACATTACAGCAACAGCGGCGGCTTGTTGCTAAGCTCCAGCCACTGAGCGTGGGAGTCACTTGTCAGGATTAAAGAGAAGTTGTATAGAACTAAAATAAAAACAACAACACTAGTAACCTGCAGCAGCACGTTACATGTTCCCATCATGGTGTTGGATGAAGAGAAGCCGGCGGTTGTTCCTCCTAACCAGCCAACTATCGAAGGATTACCAAAACTTGCCTACAAGTCCAGCTTTTTTCACAAGACTATGGCGGCACTTTGCTGCAATGCTGAGGCCGCATCGGGGAGCCTTTGGTCGTTTATAAGTGGTCGGTCTGTAGCAGTAACGTGGTGAGATCACATGTTCACTAAAGATTACACAATGGTGGTATAAAGTGGGTGTGGGGCCCATGTCTGCACTGTCGTGAACTTCCTTTTAGCTTAAACATTTTTTTATGCCGATTGAAGCAATGCTCCTTAAGGGTTTATTTTTTCCCACTTGCCCTTCACAGTACTCGTGAACTGTGGTGATTTTCAGATGTAGAGGCCAGAAGATCTGCATGTCTCCGTTCTGTCTTGATTCTGTTTACAAAAGTCATTTTCATTACTCAGGTTTATCCTGTAGATTTCATGCAAACGTGTGTGTAGGGTACATGGATATGATAATGGAGTAAAAAGTATGTGGTAACTGGAGTTGATGTGTGCTGAATTAATCTAAAAGTATGAAAAAACTGATGTGAGAAACAAACCTCTACGGTGGAAAAAAAATGCACCATAAATGGTCGTCGTCGTCGTCATCTTCCTCCGCTTATCCGGGTCCGGGTCGCGGGGGCAGCATCCCAACTAGGGAGCTCCAGGCCGTCCTCTCCCCGGCCTTGTCCACCAGCTCCTCCGACAGGACCCCAAGGCGTTCCCGGACCAGATTGGAGATGTAACCTCTCCAACGTGTCCTGGGTCGACCCGGGGGCCTTCTGCCGGCAGGACATGCCCGAAACACCTCCCCGGGGAGGCGTCCAGGAGGCATCCTGACCAGATGCCCAATCCACCTCAACTGGCTCCTTTCGATCCGGAGGAGCAGCGGTTCTACTCCGAGTCCCTCCCGAATGTCCGAGCTCCTCACCCTATATCTAAGGCTGAGCCCGGCCACCCTACGGAGGAAACTCATTTCGGCCGCTTGTATCCGCGATCTCGTTCTTTCGGTCATTACCCAAAGCTCATGACCATAGGTGAGGATTGGGACGTAGATCGACCGGTAAATCGAGAGCCTGGCTTTCTGGCTCAGCTCCCTCTTCCCCACGACAGATCGGCTCAGCGTCCGCATCACTGCAGACGCCGAACCAATCCGCCTGTCGATCTCCCGATCCCTCCTACCCTCACTCGTGAACAAGACCCCGAGATACTTAAACTCCTCCACTTGAGGTAGGACCTCTCCCCCGACCCGGAGGTGGCAAGCCACCCTTTTCCGGTCGAGAACCATGGTCTCAGATTTGGAGGTGCTGATCCTCATCCCAGCCGCTTCACATTCGGCCGCGAACCTACCCAGCAAGAGCTGAAGGTCAGAGCTGGATGAAGCTAGGAGGACCACATCATCCGCAAATGCAGAGACGAGATTCTCCTGCCACCAAACTGGACACACTCCACACCACGGCTGCGTCTAGAAATTCTGTCCATAAAAGTGATGAACAGAACCGGTGACAAAGGGCAGCCCTGGCGGAGTCCAACCCTCACTGGGAACAGGTCCGACTTACTACCGGCTATGCGGACCAAACTCACGCTCCTCTGGTAAAGGGACTGAATGGCCCTTAACAGAAAGCCACCCACCCCATACTCCTGGAGCGTCCCCCACAGGGTGCCCCTGGGGACATGGTCATAAGCCTTCTCCAAATCCACAAAGCACATGTGGATTGGTTGGGCAAACTCCCATGCCCCCTCCATCACCCTTGCAAGGGTATAGAGCTGGTCCACAGTTCCACGGCCAGGACGAAAACCACATTGCTCCTCCTCTATCTGAGATTCAACTATCGATCGGACCCTCCTCTCCAGTACCTTGGAGTAGACCTTTCCAGGGAGGCTGAGGAGTGTGATCCCCCTATAGTTGGAACACACCCTCAGGTCACCCTTCTTAAAGATGGGGACCACCACCCCGGTCTGCCACTCCCTAGGAACTGCCCCCGATGACCACGCAATGTTGTAGAGACGTGTCAACCATGACAGCCCTACAACATCCATAGCCTTGAGATACCCAGGACGAACCTCATCCGCCCCCGGGGCTCCGCCGCTGTGTAGTTGTTTGACTACCTCAGCAACTTCTGCCCCCGAGATCGGACAGTCCATCCCCAGGCCTCCCCGCTCTGGTTCCTCCTCGGAATGCGCATTGGTGGGATTGAGGAGCTCCTCAAAGTATTCCTTCCACCGTCCGACTATAGCCTCAGTTGACGTCAGCAGCTCCCCATCCCCACTGTAAACAGTGTGAGCGAGTTGCTGCCTTCCTCTCCTGAGGCGTCGGACAGTTTGCCAGAACCTCTTTGGAGCCGATCGATAGTCTTTCTCCATGGCCTCACCAAACTCCTCCCACGCCCGAGATTTTGCCTCAAAAACCCCAACACACAGGCAGAGAGTCTCGGGGCTAACAAAAAGCCAACCCCAGCCCTCCGCCTCTCACCCGGAGCAACTCCAGCAAAGTAGAGTGTCCAACCCCTCTCCAGGTCTCGGGTTCCAGAGCCAATGCAATGTGTCGAGGTGAGTCCGACTATATCTAGCCGGTACCGCTCAACCTCTGCCACAAGCTCCGGCTCCTTCCCCGCCAGCGAGGTGACGTTCCATGTCCCAAAAACTAGTTTTCTTGTCCGGGGATTGGACCGCCAAGGCTCCCGCCTTGGTCTGCCACCCGATTCGCATTGCACCGGACCCTTCAAGTTCCTCCTGCGGGTGGTGGGTCCACAGTTGGACGAGCCCATGTATCCGGTTCGGGCTGGGCCCGGCCGGGCCCCATGGGCGAAAGCCCGGCCACCAGGCGCTCGCTCACGGGCCCCAACCCCAGGCCTTGCTCCCGGGTGGGACCCCGGTAACCCTCCGGGCCGGGTACTCCGACTCTTCGTTTTAACCGCCATGAAAGATCCTTCGAACCGTTCTTTGTCTCACCCTTCACCTAAGACCAATTTGTCATGGGAGACCCTACCAGGGGCACTAAGTGCCCCAGACAACATAGCTCCTAGGATCATTAGGGCACTCGAACTCCTCCACCACGATAAGGTGACGGTTCAAGGAGGAGACCATAAATGGTGGTAATTGTAATAATCGCTTGATGTGTGAGGGTAGGAGGGATCAGGAGATCGACAGGCGGATTGGTTCGGCTTCTGCAGTGATGCGGACGCTGGGCCGATCTGTCGTGGGGAAGAGGGAGCTGAGCCAGAAAGCCAGGCTCTCGATTTACCGGTCGATCTATGTCCCAGTCCTCACCTATGGTCATGAGCTTTGGGTAATGACCGAAAGAACGAGATCGCGGATACAAGCGGCCGAAATGAGTTTCCTCCGTAGGGTGGCCGGGCTCAGCCTTAGAGATAGGGTGAGGAGCTCAGACATTCGGGAGGGTCTCGGAGTAGAACCGCTGCTCCTCCGGATCGAAAGGAGCCAGTTGAGGTGGTTTGGGCATCTGGTCAGGATGCCTCCTGGACGTCTCCCTGGGGAGGTGTTTCGGGCATGTCCTGCCGGCAGGAGGCCCCCGGGTCGACCCAGGACACGTTGGAGAGGTTACATCTCCAATCTGGTCCGGGAACGCCTTGGGGTCCTGCCGGAGGAACTGGTGGAGGTGGCTGGGGAGAGGACGGTCTGGAGCTCCCTAGTTGGGATGCTGCCCCCGCGACCCGGACCCGGATAAGCTGAGGAAGACGACAACACTTAATAATCGAATGGTAGGACCTGAATCACAATCAGATCAAACAGTGAGGTACCCAAGATGGCACACCCCTATCTTTATCACTTATTATTAGTACATTATCACTATCATGTACTCACTCACCTCACACTTATGGGCTGTACAAAGTTTTATCACAATTGATCAATCATTCTTCAGACATTCTGAAGGTTTTTTAAAAGGTTTCCTTTGCACTTTTTCTCCCTCAATCTCAAATTGACTGTCTTCAGATAGTCTCTATTTGTTTTGAGCCACATACCTCCAACCAAGGGCCTTGGCTACAGTGCATCAATACATCAATAAAGTCTATTCTATTCTCTGATTGACAGTATTGGAGGAGAATCCTTGGCTGTGGCCCAAAACACGTACGCAGTCAACTGGTTTAAAGGCAAAGAGCTCAATCTGGTGTTCGGCCTGCAGCTCAGCATGGCTCGCCTGGTATGACCATTGATTAATTCCTTCTAGCATCGTTGGATTGTGGAAACCGTTTGGGAACGTGGGATATGAGTCGTGAGCCTCTCCTCTTGTTCGTAGGGCAGCACTGTGAACATGAACATCATGGGCTGGGTGTACAGTAAAGTGGCGCTCGCCGTCGGCTCTTCTGGTCACACGGCATTAGGCGTGTCACTCATGATCGGTAAGTAATATGCTCTTGTGTTCGGCTCAGGGAGAGCCGACTTTAAAGTGAGTTTCTGGTTACTCGGGCTTTATCTCTGTTTGAGAGACCAGAGCCTTTCTCTGCAAGTGATGATCTCAGATAACAGCCAGCAGAGAAGTGCTAAAGGGAACTGAAAGTGCCTCACAGGAATCTCTGCGGGGTGGGAAAAGTGTCAGTTCTCAGATTTTTCTCCCTCCACAATTTCTCAGTAATGTTAACGTGCTTCTACATTTGCACGTCTTGCAAAAGTTTCTGTTTGTTATGGTCTGTTCTAGCTAGCCTATACTGGAAGTTAAACTTTAACCGTTAAAGATGAGTTTCTGTTGAGAAAAGTTGTCACCAGCTGTCAGGTTCAGTCTGATAAAGTCACAACAATCATCGGTGATGCTGAAATGCTGCTTTGCTACATGTGTTTTTGCTCTTCTAGCCGGTGGAACCTGTGTGTTTTCCCTAATCTGTGCCTTGGTGTTGGCGTTTCTTGATAAGAGAGCAGAACGGATTCTTCAAAAGGAACAAGGGAAAACAGGTAATGTTGATGTTAGATGTGCCCCTGTCGATATCGACTTAAAGAACAGATTTCTGTTGACCTGGACTGCAGACGTTCAGTGTATTGCTCAGGTTTTCATCATTCTAGAAGCTGCTGTTTAAAGATGTTAAATGTTCCTGTTTTGTTTTTTTAATCTGCGTTTTCAGACGAGGTGATCCGGCTGACTGATGTGAAGGATTTCCCGTTAACACTGTGGCTCATTGTCGCCATTTGTGTGTGTTACTATGTGGCCATCTTCCCCTTCATCGGACTGGGGCAGTGAGTGGTTTTTAAGGCCGATGCCGATTTTTAAAGAATTTTGTTGCCAATGGCCGATATCTAAACGTTTCAGCAGCACATTCATTGTGAGAGACAACTGAACACTCACTGTGTGCGCAATATAAATTATATAAATTAATAAATCTCTTAATATTTATTGAACTTCGAATTTAAACAAAGTCAACATAAAAAAATGGTGTTGTGGTCCTTCGGGTCGTTTCTTTAGTCTAGTAGTGGCGGCAGTCGGCCTCACGGGTGCCTGATTTATGATTTTTTTTTTTATTAATTTCAGCCGATATAGAAAGAGGTTGAATATATCGGCCTCTAGTTTTTGTCCGACCACATCACTGAAAGCTTACAATGCTTTGGATTTAATGCAGCTTCTGTTTTCCACAGATTAGTTTGTTGGAGTTGACTCATCTTTCTGTATCTAAAGGAAAATTATGGAAGTGTGACAGCCAAAACATGTATAGAAATAATAAATGTCTTCTTCATACATTCTCCTGCAATGCCCTGGTCCTGTAGAATGAGCCCTGGCATTTTTACTGTGATTGCCTGTTTTTCTGTAAAATCACAGAAAAAGAGAGATGCTCGGGTCGAGCAGGCTGCTTCATGCGCGTTCACGCTCAGGCATAGCCCGTAGCATTTGCTATCCGTAGCTTTAGCAGCAGAGAGAGAGGCAGTGCCACTTTGTCGCTGTTCCTAACGCCTAGTGACAAACCTAGCTACATTTCTGAGGACCCTTAGCTACTTTCTGTAGAACTTTCTTCTAGATATTTCCTGCAAATTAGCAACAAAATAGCCATTTTCACTCCGAACCGTTATTTGGATTGACGTTCCAGCCGTCATCAAGGATATAAATATTACAGATGCATTGAATGTTACTGGTGTATAGCTCACCTTGTAAGATGTCTGATTTATGTGCAGAAGATCCGGGTTCGATTCTGGATGTGAACATAGTTTATTTAGAGTTTCTTTTTTACATTAATGGTATATTTTTTACAGTAAGATGCCCAAATTTTTATTTGAGACTCGCCGAACGGCATTGAATTCACAGATAATAAAGATGTGGGTTCAACTTTCATTTTGGAACAATTTTTCAAGCAAGGGAAGGGAATGATCTGAGCATGCAGGAGGACTGACCCATCATAAACCTTTGTCGGCTGTGCTGAAGAGAAAGGTACAGAACCAAATTATTTAATTAGCTGCACGTTCTCCTGTCCTCTGTCCTCCGGGCCACACACACACACACACACACACACACACACACACACACACACACGGGACTGTCTCAGCTGTTATTTTCGTTGAGTGTGCACGTACAGCATGCTCGCCTCGTGCACGAGCCTACTATTTAAGCTGCCGTTACGCTTTTGGCCTGAGGGGGCAATCGCGAGCATAAAAATTCAAAAGTCCGAAGTCTTTTTAAACGAGCTAAAACATTTTTTATTCCTTTTTCAGAGTTTTCTTCATTGAAAAGTTCAACTTCTCTCCTGCTCAAGCCAGAGCGGTCAACAGGTCGGTTGGATCAGATCAAGAATTTTATTGTGATCTACTGTTACTAATGGATTAAATGTTTTTAAAAGGCAACATATTTTTTATTATAAAACGATTGCTTAACTTGTCTGAAGTATTCCTACGAGAATCTTTGTCTTTTCCAGTATTGTTTACATCATCTCAGCGCCCGCATCTCCAATCCTGGGCTTTGTTGTTGATAAGACGGGGAGGAATGTGGTTTGGGTGATAACTGCAGTGGTTGCGACCCTCGCTGCTCACATGATGCTGGCTTTCACCTTCTGGAACCCATGGATCGCCATGGTAACACCTTTAGCATGTATTCTGTATCTCAACTAGGTGTGTTAGATCACTAGTGTGTGAGCTGTGAAGTGAGTTGGGTACTCTTGTCTTCCAGTCCCTGCTTGGTGTGTCTTACTCCTTGCTGGCTTGTGGGTTGTGGCCCATGGTGGCCTTCGTGATACCCGAGCATCAGCTGGGAACAGCCTACGGCGTGTATGTCTATAACTAGCTTCACTTCATTAGTTTTTATCTGGATTATTATTATTGCTTATTTTTGCATGTCCGTCCATCAGCATGCAGTCCATCCAAAACCTCGGACTCGCTCTTTTTGCGATGGCAGCCGGAGCCATCGTGGATTCCAATGGATACTTGGTTCTGGAAGTGTTTTTCTGCGCTTGTGTTTGTGGTCAGTGTTTGTTATTGTCCATGTCCTATTGGACTCTTCTGAGTGGCAGTGTCCGTAGCTCGCTTGCACTGATGTCTCTCTCCACCTGCCTTGCAGTGGCACTGATTGCGGCGGTGATGCTGTACTTGGTGGATTATCTCAAAGGTGGGCTGGAGCTCTGAAATCTAACATTTCATAATTTGTAATTTTCTTGTTTCGTTTCATATCTTTTTACTTGTCTGCTTGGAAAGCTCTTTATTCATTGGCAAACCTTCCCCCTAGGTGGAGATCTGAACCGGACGGCTGCAGCCAGAGCCAAACTCCAGAAGGAGGACTCTCCAGAATCCGAGTGAGTAAAATGACTCCTTAAAAAATGGTGAACAACTCGTTTTTAATCTCGGATCACAAAGACGTGTAAAAATAAGAAGATGGAGGCAAAATATTGTCTTTTCTCGAATCAGTTTTGTCTGATTTCCCTTTTATTTTTAATGTTTGCGGCTCAGACATAAACATTTTTTATAATCTGCTCTAAATGCATGAGTCATGAGCAGAGCTGCAGTATCCAGCTTCAGTTTACTGTACTTTAACAGCTGCTGATTTTATGGTTCACTAGTAAATTATGGTTTACAACGCTGAGGCGTGTAAATAGCCATTAAATCAAGCTATAATTGAAGGGACAGTTGATTACGCTTCATTGTGTTTTATAAGTGGTTGTTTAGGCAACTTTACTATAGTGGCATTAATGTTTACAAGCTGAACTATTAGTTAATTTACAACTTTTATTTAAAAAAAGAAGTAAACAAACTACCTCAGTGTTTTATTGATGTTCCCCAACTTTAAACGAGAACAGCTTTTAGGATTACTGAATAGGGCTGCAGTTACTGATTGTTTTAATCATCGATTAATTCGCCTCAGTAATTAATTGATTTGTTGATTAATTGGATAAGCATTTGTGTTTTCTTTGCTTTGAATTTGGGATAAAAATAGAACGGAGCAGCACTAGTAGTGAGAAGCATGTCAGTAACCAGTACATGTCTATAACATTTATTGCCTTCAACTCGTTTTCATTTGCTGCCTGTTGACTCTGAAGGCCAGTCTCAGTTGATGAAGATTCCAGAAACAGAGAGAAGAAATTTAGGTTTCCAGCTAACAACGGTGATTATTTTACTGACAAAAGAAATATTAAATATTCATTAAATTAGATTTGGTTACAAGTGTGATATTTGTTTTATTATTATTACTATTGTTATTTTTAGTTTCCTTTTCAGTAAAGACAAAACTGCAGCGTTCCAAACAAATACCTGAAAATTAAAACCTTCTATGGAGTCCTTTAAACAGCTGACAAGCAAACATTTTAGTCACATGCTGACTTCCAATAAAACATGGAGGAAAAATAAATAAAAACCCACTTGTTGGATTTTAGTGGTAGTAGAAAATGAATCCTCAGTCTCAGTTAGCATAGCTCCGTTTATCTTCATCTAAACTCTAGATCACACAACTCGCCTTAGATCCACAGCTGATGCCTGTTAGCCTGGCAAGTCCCAGAAGTTCCCAACTAAATAAATATATTATTTAGTCAGGAACGCTCCATTGATGGCTCTCGGTTGTGGGGCGGGTTCTACTGTTGTCTTTAAAGCGATCTCCAGATGCTACTGGACAAAGAACAATGTGACGTACTCACCGTAAGGGATGTCTGTCAACGGGGCAGCCCGCTGTTGAAGGCAAAAATACATCCTTTTTCTGACTAAAGGACTTAAATACATCTATCTGCTCCTGATTCTAATAAATACATCTATCTGCTCCTGATTCTAATAAAGGCCAAGTTCCAAAAGTCCAAAATCGATGTAAAAGCTGTTTATAACAAGCTGTCTCCATCTTGTTGCACTTTGTCGCATCATCCCACCCATCAAACCAACAGAGCGCTGTGATTGGCCCACCTTTGTGGACCAATCACAGCGGTCTTATCAGTTTGAAATCCTGATAGAGAGCTGTGATTGGCCTGCTAGAGGGCCGCGAAGGTTACAACGGAGCGTTCCTAGACCAAACTTTTAGAGCAACTAGCTTGGTGCCGTGCTAGTTTGCGCTAAGCTAGTGGTCTTGTCCATTGGAAGATTAGCTTAGCTAGCTTCGAATCCTTTCAAGATCTGGCCATGTGGTAAGTAGCAGCTACGCTGGCGGAGAAGAGATTCTGCTGTGATGTCCAAACTAATGAATCTCAAATTCTGTGACAGACAGTCGAAACACATTGTTGCTTTTCATTTAAATTCTAGTACAACATTTTCAGGGAGTGGGGCAAAGCGGATCAGAACATTATAGTTCCGTTCCGTGGACCCTTGAGTTGACCGGAAGGGAAGGAGACTTGGGCTCCCCGTTGGTTTTAACTCTACTCAGTACTAGGGCTGGGCAGTTAATCGAAAATGTATCGTTATCGAAATTTCTGAATCTTATCTTGATCATTTTTCCCATGTGAATAAATCTGATAATAAAAAATGAAAAGATGTGTAGGGCAACGTTTGTGTCCCTTTAACTCATTCACTGCCATTGACGACTAAAGTCGTCATTTGCATTTTTTTCTGTTTGGGCATCGGTACGAGCCCCGGCGCTGAGAGAACAAACATCTCAGCTCTAAAGCCAATCTTCATCCGCATACGTCACATGATCAGGAAGCAGAAAATCCATGTGTTAGGAGATCGTTTTGGGCCGTTCCTGTAAAAAAAAAAAAAAAAAAAAAAAAAAGAGGAAGGCGCGAATCGGAAAAGCTTCTGCCGATCACAATTCGACAACGGATTATGAAAGAACGCATAATGCTCGAAACACGCAGATTCTTCCTGATGTAAGAGGTGAGTCTCTGCTTTGTTTTAGTTGTTTTGTCGACATCATCCCAGCGTGCAACGTTCTGTCACTCTTAAAAAACTGTACAAACGGCGAGAAACGCTGGCAGCGAATGAGTTAAGAAGCAGTTCCACCTTGAGTCACGTAAAAATGCGACTCAACGCGATACACTCCATCTAGCCCCATCTAGTGGACAACTTTTGTTTCTGCACATACCTGTAGTTATCGTCCACTTATCGTTATCGAGGTGAAATCCTCAATATATACTGATATTAATTTTAGGCCATGTCGCCCGGCCCTACTCAGTACTAGTCAAAAAAACTCAGCATTAAAGGAAATGGACAAAGAGGTGGTGGGAAGAGAATATGTAGTTATTGGTGTTTTCAATAAGAAATGTCAGATGTGGGGGCCCAGTTGTTATCAGGAATTGGGAAGTAAATACGATGCTTTGGCCTGTCTTAGTGTTATTGTTCTGTAGCCAGTTCTAGCATGTGCTTTAGAAATAACAAGACTTAATATTCTGCAGCCTTATGATGCAGGAAACAGGTTTGTGTTTTACTTCTTATAAACTGTAAATCGACCTCCTGAGCCCCTGCCGATCCACTTCACCCACCTTGCTGCTTCACATCTGTGAGTCGCTTTGGGTAAAAGCATCAGCCAGATGCATTAACGTAACGTTAAAGTGTTCAAGATGACCCACTTTTAGCAAGCACTGCATGCTGTGTGCACTCGTGGCGTCTCCTTTGCACTGTAACTTTTAATGTTGTCACATTTACTTTTTTCTTTGCATGACATTTGTTTCCAAGGGCAGGAATAGAAGTAACACCTTTTCTGCCTCCCCTCTCTAATATGTCTAACCTGTAATGTGTTGTGTATTTACACGGGGCCTGTTCACACTCACTAATACTCTGCGGTTCGTGCTGTGACTGATATTTTCCAGATGATGACGCTGCTGAGCGAACACACATGATCCTGGGATTTCAGAACCAGCAGGCTGCACTGTCCACCCCAGAGCTTTCCGTCTACGGTCATGGGGGCGGGACTGCGGTTCTGACTCCACCCAGTGATCTCATCTGTGGTTCTTCACACCTGAAACTGACCGTCTGGCGTGGGCTGTTGTGACACTTTGAATAGATAGCTGATGCTGTCCATATTGGGGTTGCTGGTACAAATCCCACTGTGGACATCAGACTTAATTCTTTTCTACCTGTACTCACTCGCCTCACACTTCTGGGCATTACAAAGTTTAAGTTACTGTATAGAAACATCCGGGTGCTTAAAACAGTGATTTTTAACTGAGATTGCCTCTACTGCCTCGGTGCAGCTGTTTTCTATTGGAGGGATTTCGTGGGTGTTTGTTTTAAACAGGACTTTGTTACCAGTCTGTTAATCGATGTCCGCCTAAACACAAGGTTTACTCACCAAACTATTTAATAGCTTTTATCCCATAACTGTAAACATTAAATTTTTAATCAACACATTTTTAATTTTTTTTAACCTGGATAATCAAAAGATCTGTAATTTGCTCCTTGCTGATCCAAATTTGTATGGACTCATTTTTCAATGATCTCACTGTAACAATACAGTATGGACCAAGTGTATTGATCAATATGACGTTTTCAGCTTTAAGAAATGTTGTCAGCAATTAGAACTTTTAAACATTTAGACCAGGGGTGTCAAACTCATTTTAGCTCAGGGGCCACATTGAGGGAAATCTAGTCCCAGGTGGGCCGGACCGGTAAAAAACAAACAACTTCAGATTGTTTTCTTTGTTTAAATACAATCAATATAAAACAAGGCTGGAGCCTGAGGACAGTGTAGTACACGCGCAACACCTGAAGTGTACTTGAAAATTTGAAAAAAAATTAAAAAATCAACAAATAAAAAAAACATTCCTTAGTGATTCAAAGAGCTTACAGATCACATGGCAAGATCAGTTTCATGCAGCACTTAAAGTATATTTGACTCATTTTACTTTACATCTTTTAGCTTTCACCGGCACATCAACATCAGAAGTCACATCCTGAGTGGCGGCCATCTTCAGGATGTGATTCAAGTTCTTGTGTGAGCCTTGAGCGCAGCTTTGTTTTATTTACACTCATTACAGAGAAAACTTGCTCTCAAAGAAACGTTTATTTTCACTCTACATTGTAAAGTATGAAAATAAAGTTTACACAACCATCTCGCGGGCCGGATTTAACCCGCTTGCGGGCCGGACCCGGCCCGCGGGCCGCAAGTATGACACCCCTGATTTAGACGGTGTTTAAAATATTTGGTCACTCGTTAAACTCGGGTGAAATTTTTCTCTGTAGCACTTTGTGAATCGGCTCATTTGAGCAACGCAACGTATTCATGGCCTCTGCTCTCAGCATTCCAGCTTAATGTGGGTGAATGTGTGTGTCCTCGCGCTGATTTTAGGGTAAACCTTCACCACCTCAGCTGAACTGTGCTTGCCACATGTAGAGGAACTGCCAGTCATTTAAGCGGGAAGATGCGACTGAACATTGAAATGAAGTTAAACGTACTGCTATCAGCCTCGTTAGCACTTTTGTGCTGTGGTACCGCGGTTTGCGGGACTGCAATGATTCGTTCCACTTTGCAATGTTACCATTAAGTTCTGATCGTTGTTTTGTAAGATTTGTAATTGGGGAAAAATAAAGATGACCCACTTCGTGTTCAAATTAGAAGTTTGGAGTGAAAGCATCGTGTAAAGTGATTTATCTTTTTATTTTTTATTTTTTGGTTTGCGTGTGGAACTTATTAGTTACTGACCAGTCTCTGTTTGGTGAAAAAGTTTATGTACATCAGGACTTTAGGGCTGATCACAAGTCCAGCTAAGGCCAAAGTACATCGCTGTAGTCTTAATGGGGAAATTTAATGTAAAGCACACATTTTGAGTCCTTTTGTGCTAACATGTGAGTCTGCACCGCCTCTATAAACACTCCAGATGTGAAAAAACTCATCTATCCATTTTTCTGTTAGGGTTGCTTAAGGAATTATGTTCCTGAAATGAGCCGTTTAAAAAAAAGAGTCCTAATTTGTGACATCACAATAGGTAAAAATACTATGTAACCCCCCTCTCACTTCCAGGCTGGAAGAGCAGCTGCTCTGTTCTGAGCCCCTCCCAGCCATCTGAGCTTCTCAGCCTTTAGCAGCCTGGATGGGGGGTGGGTGGGGGTGGCCACCTCCAGGTTGTTTTCTTAAAGTGACAGAGCCCTGAAACGGCTCATTCTAGAAGGTACTAACAGTTGGGGCTAAAACTGCTGAAATCACTTAGAGGGATTTTATGCGAAGAACTTAATTAACATGTTTTTTTTTAAATAAACCATTGAACTGTTATATTTCTATATTTTTAAGTGAATTGTTCTGGAAAACGTTCCACTTCCTGTGAATTGAGGTCATGTCTGGTAGGAACTTAATATTTCTGCTGGATTGATTGTCCTGTTAAAGATGGTGTAAAACTTAAAAGCATCTGCATGAACTTCTGTAAACCTCTGAACATTAAAGCTAATTAAAGGTAGCAGTAATAATAATAATAATACTCCTGAGGGGGGGGGGCACTACATTCCTCTGCTTCTGGTGATGTTTGTGCCTCTAAATGGTCATTGAATTCAAGTTAAATAACCACGTTACCATATTATATACTTATAAATAACTTGTACTGACTGTTATAAAACATTTAGAAAATAAAACCATTTTAAGATGGCAGCAGTAGACTTTTGGTTGCGCTTGGACCAAACATTCGCCCATCGCTCCAGATCGCTTCTCCAAACGTAGGTCACTCAGAAAGCGTTCTACAACAGGCAAGATGGTGATCATGACTTTTACACAGAAATGCACTAAAATATCCTCAACTAAATGTGTCATATTTGATATCAAGACATTTAATTAAACATTGATTTTTAATTATTTGAAGTCCTTATTGAAACTGCAGTATTCCTCTCCACTGCTTCTTGGACTAGTGCCAGCTCACTGTGTGATCCATCCTACTAGTAGCTTCAGTGTTCTCCAGGAGTGTTTATGTTGGCCGCATTATTATTCCTGCAGGAGTAAAAGGTGGCCCAGTAAGGTGATGCAGGGTGAGCATGCCGGACTGGCCCCCATGTCTGCTTTTGGCTTAAGGAACAGGTACCTCTGCAGGCTCGGAGCTCAGGTGTGCACACACGGCTTCCACGAATGATTCAAAGTCTAAAAAGGTTTTGGAAGTGCTGCTCCCTCATCGCCATTTTTTGATGTTCTCCCAGCTTCCAGACCACTGCTGCACACATCTGTCATCACTGGCCCATAGGAGCATTCTGAAATGATGCCCGTCATTCATTGGTCTACTGCAAGACTACAACAGCTGGTTTTAGACAAGTTTGCACTACAATGGGAAGGTTACTTTCTGAAGAAAATGTTGCACATTAGGTTTATTAACCTACACAATTGACTGTTCTTGGTATTTACGGGTAAATGTGGTGTTTCTTTTTCAGATTAATTTGCTATCATATTGTTTCGATAAGTTAATTTAAGGAATGTTTGCTTCACATTCAAGGTGACATTCACAGAAATCCAAAGAAGCATGTTTACTTTTTCACTTTCATTAGGTTTTGAGTTCAAATTGGACTCATTTCAGATGTTCTAGAGAAGCAGCCACCTTCAAACAGCAGAGGGCATCAATTCACTGGAATGTTCTCCACATCTGATCACTAAGTTGTTGTTAGACTCATTTTCTTACTTTGGCTTTTACCTCACGGTTTTGTAGGTGCCAGCATGACGAACGTTTTTTAACTTGATCATTTGCATTTTATTTTTTTGTATCTAACATAATAAAACAGTTCAAAACCAATTCATTTGGTCTTTAGAATCCTTTTGTTTGTATTATTATTATTTTTTTTTACAGAAGTAACAAAATTATCACTGAATTGAACTGGTCTTAGAAATCCAGGCCCAGAACGAGACACGCAAAAGATGACGGGCTAGAACTTGATTTTGACCAGGCTCTGCCGACAGGTCTGCTGTCAAGACCCTTAGCAACAGGTAGATGGTGAAGTTCTGGGTCTTCTCCAAGTGGAACATGCCTGGGAAACCTCCAAACGGAGGCAGCTAGAGTAGTGGCTCTGCTCTAAGCCTCTTCTTAATACAGGAGATCAACATACCTTTAAGCCTGAGATTGAAGAAGAAGAAAATATCATTTCTATAGCGCCTCAAGGTAAAAATCACGAGGCGCTTCACAAAAACACACAATGTAAAAATATAATAAAGAATTTAGAAAATGGTTAAAATATGTTTAAAATGAGCAAAAAATAGACAATTGTGATTAAAAAAATGTTAGAGTGAATAGGAAAGAGGGAAATCAGTGGATCCTGAGGAAGGTGGAATAGGTGGGGAGAGCAGAGTAAGGAGAGAGTGGTGATGAAGGTCATACAAAAGCCACTTTGAACAAGTGAGTCTTCAGCTGCTTTTTAAAGGAGACCACTGAGTCCACTGATCTCAGGCTCAGGGGGAGAGAGTTCCAGAGTTTGGGGGCCACAGCAGCAAATGATCTGTCACCTTTGGTCTTTAGCCTGGTGCTGCACAACCAGTAAGTTTTGATCACTGGACCTCAGGGACCTGCTGGGGGTGTAGGGTCTAAGAAGATCACCAATGTAAGATGGTGCTTGTCCATGTAAGGCCCTATAGACCAGAACCAGGATCTTGAAATGAACCCTGAAGTTGACTGGCAGCCAGTGAAGCTGGAGGAGAAGTGGGGTGATACCACAGTATGGTCCACATATATATATTTTTTCATACATGGCATGAATTTCATGGAAATAGGTGAGAAAATCACTGTTTCCCTGGGTTGGTAAATTCCTAGCCTGAATCATTGGCCCAGTCCACCTCTGCATATTGCTCTTTTAAAGTAACACTAAATAGTAGGGAAGGTGCTCTCGCTGTTATGCTAGCAGTTAGCTGTCTCAATTTGTAAAAAAAAATAAAATAAAAGAAGAAAAATGAGAACATATGTGTCGGAATTAGTACTACATATTCAAGTGACACAGATCACATTCAAAAAAATCGGACCTGTGCGTTCAGACTGTAATAAAAACAAATCAGATATGGCTCACATGTGGAGAAAAAAGCGCATTAAATCTGCTTTTCTCTCCACATGTGAGCCATATCTGATTTATTTTTATTACAGTCTGAACGCACAGGTCAGAGTTTTTAGAATGCGATCCGTGTCATTTGAATATGTAGTACTAATTCTGACACATATCTGATGTATTTAAAAACGACTGCAGTCTGAACGGTCATGTCGCATTAAATCAGTCTCCAACGTCACAGAGTCAGTGGTTTCATCTCCGCGTAGTGTGACGTCTTGTCTTCTGCGCATGCGGGTCACTTTGGGGTAGTGAAGTGTTCACACTGGAGAGAGTTTGATGTCGCATTTCGGTCATAGTGTGAACAGCCACACAAAACAATCTGACTTACCCAAAAATCGGAATTGAGCATCAAGGCCTGCAGAGTGAACATAGCCTTTGACTCCCTATGGTGACCTGGCTTTGTCGCTACTAGACCAGTAAGTAATAATATTTGTTTTTTCAACTGTGGATCTTTATACTTTGTGGTTTATTTTAGTATTAGCTGGCTCACATTAGTGTTAGCATGTTGGTGCTAGCTAAAGCAAGCTTCTGCTGGGTTGATTATGATGGTTGTAATCTCACTTTCAACCAGTAGGGCAGAGGAACAGGAAACCAAAGGCGCCCCCAAGGGATGGCCATGGCCACCCCTAGAAAATTGATGCCCCCCCCCCCCCCCCCCCCGAAAAGCCAGTTTTAATAAATCATATCAATGTTCAGTCAAACCATAAATTGATCTGTTTCTTTAAACATAATTGTAAAACAAATTAAAATAATACAATTAAATAATCAGAATAAAAATTACATATGTGCCTTTTATCATTTTAAAAACGTTTTTATCTCCATAAATTTTTTGTGAACACAGCAACAGGTGAATTAACCTAAAAGATACATTTTAAAATAAAATTTGAAGTAACTGATACATATTTTTCTGAAATGTTTGTGTTTGTAAAATTGAAGTAAAATGTTTTATTTATTGACTTTTTTAAATAAAAACGAATAAAGAAGCAATGCAACACATCGCCACAGGCTGAACTCTCCAAGAGTTACCACAAGGACCAATTTGGTGTGCCACCCCAAAAATGTATTTGGCCCCATCAGGCCACCCCATCAACATTTTCTGGAGGCGCCTCTGCAGGAAACTACTCAGTGTTACTTTAACGTTAAAAGGTGTAACACCACTGGATCATCATGTTGAAGTTGCTCGTGTGCAAAAACTGCCGTTTCTGCAGACGGTGTTACTAAAGGAACAACAGCACTCAGGCAAAATATTGTTTTTCCATCACTGACCTATCAGAAGTGTTAAAAATAAACAATTTCCCATATCCTAAACCTTTCTGACACTAATCCTGTGTGAGAATGGTTTGCAGGTGTTTCTCACCTGTTCTAGCCCATATGTCATATTCAAATCGGTTAATAAAGAAAATGTTTTTGTATAAATAAATTGACTCTCGGAAAGAAATAAAAAATAAACATGAATCTAAGTTTCTCTGCAGTCGCCTTTCCCCGTAAGAATGCAGAATAATTTATGCTGCTTTTAAATATGTCGTCAGCGTGCGCTGCACGGAGGAGGAGGAGGAGGTGGGGGGTGCGCAACGCACGCGCCGCTCAGCATCCTATTGGCTGCGAGAATTTTCCAAGTCTGATGTCTCACCGGCTGCTCCCGGCTCAAAGTGTTCACTTCATCTCCGGCTGGCTGTGGGGAAAGAGAACAGCTCATCATGCTGAGGAGCGGCGCGTACAGGTTGGTGTACCCTACTCTCACAAACGCACCAGATAAACGCTCCAGCTGGCTCGGTCCGGTCCAGCAGCCACGCGTGGCGGACGCACGGCACACCCATCAGGTCTTCTCTAAATGTTGTAACTTGGTTGCTTTCTTGCAGGAACATGCAGCAGGGAGAGGAGGTGAGGCTGCGCAGCGGGAGTCTGGCTCGAGACAGGAAGCACCTTGCTTTGTGCATTAATAAGCAGGTAAGGGAGAGCTGACGTCTCTGCTGTGCGTTCGGAGGCGTTTCCCCACCACGTTTGGGTCATTCATATCTGATATTAGGGTCTGGGAATCTTGCAGCAGTGACGTAATTAGCAGCAAGTTTGTGCTTCGAAGAGAGGGAGTAACTTTGATGAAGGGTAACTTGTTTCCAACAGGATGCTCCTCCTCTTGCAGACCTCCTATCCGCTTCTGCACATCTAAAATGACACAATTTGCTGAATTCCCTTTAATTAGGAAAATTGCTATTTAATGTTGGCTTAAGGCCGGTTGGAGAGCTGAAAAGGGCTCATTAATGCCACATTTTGTGTCTTTGGTTATAAATGACTTCATTTTCAGCAGAAACAGCGGAATGAGGTGGTGGGTGCTTCCATCGTCTGTAGGACAGAGGTCAATGCAGAGGCTTTAAAACCTGTTAAGGAATTAATTTTTTGAGGAGAACACTTGTGCTCCATCATAAGCTCTCATCTGAGTTGTAGGCTCTTCTCAGGGAGGGGGTGTTGGTGCTGGACTTCACCTGCTTGTTTTTGGCTTCTGAATATTTTATGTCAGTGATGTGGTGTTGCACATTATCAGCAGCTGTGGAATATTGAGCCTGTGAGATCTGAGAGCACTGTTCCATCACTGCTTCAGAGTTACCCTGCATGGTAAGCCCCACCACCACCACCACACCATCAGACCCACACACGCTCTCATTTATTGCACTCTCATCTGAACTTGTATTATTATTTTTTCATTTTGACTCCAGATTTGTTCCTGTTGCAGCCCTAGTCACCTGACAGCAGAATTTTCAAAGCTCTAAATTGGTCCGGCTCAGCTCTGCGAGGAGCTGGGGTAGGAGGTGCATGCCAGATGAAGGAGCTCGGTGAAAGACTAATCAGTAATCGGCACGTGAAATATGAATAAGTATACGAATGGGGGTTATTGGTTATGGAGAATGCTCCACTTACTGTGTTTGCTTGAGTGATTCTGATTCATTGCCGGAGCAGGAATCCCCCCTGAGATGCACATTAATCTATCCAGCTATTACCCCATAATCAATGGACAGCTGAGTTTTACCGCCATGCCGTGCTGTTAACCATTTTACCCAGAGCTTATTTAAACAGCGCACCGGATTGGCCACGTTCAGTGGAGTTCGCCACGACGTAGTTGGCATTCAGCTTTTGCTTTAAGGTAATTCACGTGCATTGTGTCCCTTTTTGCTCAGAATATTCTGGACATGGAGAAAACTACATTTTAGTGTGTGAGGTGAGCTAAGATTGAGGCTTTAATCAGCCAGAGCAGCAGTCAAACACACGCAGCATTCTATGTTGCATACAGACGGGATGAACTTGGTAGGCGTGCAGTGCCAGGGATGGGTGTCATATTTCAGAAGTGCATCATTGAATCTCCCCCAGCGGGACGCTGCGGAACTGAGTGCTGTTTGCACCGGCTCCCTTAAACGCTCCACAATTGAGTCGTAACAATCTGCGCAAGAACTAGATGAGACTGCACGCTGACGTGTCTTTTTGGTCCAACATGATCCTATGATGGACTTACAGATTAGCTGTGTGTGTGTGTGTGTGTGTGTGTGTGTGTGTGTGTGTGTGTGTGTGTGTGTGTGTGTGTTGGTTCAGCTGCATAAAACAGTGATGGTAATTCATTCTGACTCGGGCTCAGTTACACACGTGAACAAATCAAACAGCGATTCTCTTCTCTCTTTACCAGGTTTTGCACAACTCATATTGTACTTTCAGGTTTTTTAGTGATTTGAAATCTGCATTTTTCATTGATCATTCACATATTTCCTTTTGATACATCTGTATTGGTGGAAGGAATACTTTGAGGAGCTCCTCAATCCCACCTACGTGCATTCCAAGGAGGAGCCAGAGCCGGGAGTCCTGGGGATGGACTGTCAAATCTCTGGGCAGAAGTTGCTGAGGTAGTCAAACAACTACACAGCAGCGGAGCCCCGGGGGTGGATGAGATTCGTCCTGGGTATCTCAAGGCAATGGATGTAGTAGGGCTGTCGAGGCTGACACGTCTCTGCAACATTGCGTGGTCATCGGGGGCAGTTCCTGTGGAGTGGCTGTGGTCCCCATCTTTAAGAAGGGTGACCTGAGGGTGTGTTCCAACTATAGGGGGATCACACTCCTCAGCCTCCCTGGAAAGGTCTACTCCAAGGTACTGGAGAGGAGGGTCCGATCGATAGTTGAATCTCAGATTGAGGAGGAGCAATGTGGTTTTCGTCCTGGCCGTGGAACTGTGAACCAGCTCTATACCCTTGCAAGGGTGATGGAGGGGGTATGGGATTTTGCCCAACCAGTCCACATGTGTTTTGTGGATTTGGAGAAGGCTTATGACCGTGTCCCCAGGGGCACCAGCAGGGGGACGCTCCAGGAGTATGGGGTGAGTGGCTTTCTGTTAAGGGCCATTCAGTCCCTTTACCAGAGGAGCGTGAGTTTGGTCCGCATAGCCGGTAGTGAGTCGGACCTGTTCCCGGTGAGGGTTGGACTCCGCCAGGGCTGCGCTTTGTCACCGGTTCTGTTCATCACTTTTATGGACAGAATTTCTAGGCACAGCCATGGTGTGGAGTGTGTCGAGTTTTGTGGCAGGAGAATCTTGTCTCTGCTTTTTGCGGATGATGAGGTCCTCCTAGCTTCATCCACATCTGACCTTCAGCTCTTGTCGGGTAGGTTCGCGGCCGAGTGTAAAGCAGCTGGGATGAGGATCAGCACCTCCAAATCTGAGACCATGGTTCTCGACCGGAAAAGGGTGGCTTGCCAACTCCGGGTCGGGAGAGAGGTCCTACCTCAAGTGGAGGAGTTTAAGTATCTCGGGGTCTTGTTCACGAGTGAGGGTAGGAGGGATCGGGAGATCAACAGGCAGATTGGTCCGGCGTCTGCAGTGATGCGGACGCTGAGCCGATCTGTCGTGGGGAAGAGGGAGCTGAGCCAGAAAGCCAGGCTCTCGATTTACCAGTCGATCTACGTCCCAATCCTCACCTATGGTCATGAGCTTTGGGTAATGACCGAAAGAACGAGATCGCAAACACAAGCGGCCAAAATGAGTTTCCTCCGTAGGGTGGCCAGGCTCAGCCTTAGAGATAGGGTGAGGAGCTCGGACATTCGGGAGGGACTCGGAGTAGAACCGCTGCTCCTCCGGATCAAAAGGAGTCAGTTGAGCTGGTTTGGGCATCTGGTCAGGATGCCTCCTGGACGCCTCCCTGGGGAGGTGTTTCAGGCATGTCCTGCCGGCAGGAGACCCCCGGGTCGACCCAGGACACGTTGGAGGGGTTACATCTCCAATCTGGTCCCGGAACGCCTTGGAGTCCTGCTGGAGGAACTGGTGGAGGTGGCTGGGGAGAGGACGGTCTGGAGCTTCCTAGTTGGGATGCTGACCCCCCCCCCCACCCCCCCACCCCCCCCACCCCCACCCCCCCCCGAACAAGACCCGGATAAACGGAGGAAGACGACGACATCTGTATTGGTTAACAACAGAACTCCCAGGATACTAACTTCACTAGAACACCCAGGAACCGTCAGTTTGACAGCTGTCATTTTGGCCATTAAATGCAGGCTGACGATGACGTTGTGGAGCAAAATGGTTCAAGTGCATTATTAAATTACTCTTTATGAATGTGTGAACCTAATTGTATGGTAAGAAAATATCATTTTTATCCAAACCTTGCAAATAACTCTCTCTATTGTTCACCAGGTAACCTACACTGATCTTTTCAGGGTCCCAGATTGTCTTCCGCATTGCTGTCAGAGTCTCTGATGCTTCCTAATGACCAGTTTTCATCAGCTTTCCCATCTCCTCCTGAAGTAGCTTCATTTCTCATGCTTGTTTCACTGAGAATGTTCTTCTAAAAGCTGTTTCAGCCGCTATTTCACACAGTTTGAATGGAGAGTGAGCGCATGGCAGCTGGAAAGTTGGTTCCTTAGCAACGGTGACGCTGTCCGTTGTCTGCGGGAAAACGTTGCCATGTAAACAATAGAGCCGACAAATTGACACCTTGTTGGAGACAAAGACAAAAACAGCTATATTTCTTTTTTGAAACATTATTTTATGGAAATTATAAAGCAAATATAAAGGACACATAAAAATAGGAAAAGCCAGGAAAACAGGAGATTCATCTAACTAAAGTTTTTACATATCAAAACATGAAAACAGTCAAAATGACTGCCTTGGGAGTTCTAGTGTTAAAGCAGGCAGAATCGTTTCAATCCGTAAGTTAGAGGAAGCTAAAATAAAAAGGCAAGAACTTTATGGAGCTTACATGCTGGCGACATCTGCAATGAGGAACGGCAGCAAGACTCCTCGCTGACCTCGCTCCTCCGAGGATGTGGGCGGGGCAAAAGACGTGGAGAAATCCGCGGTGTCTGCGGCCACGAGCAGTGTTGCTTTTGGAGACTCTGATATGAAGCACACAGCTTCCTTCTCTCTCACAGAGACTGCTGCGCGCTGGAGTGGCAGCTCCAAGCTGATGTTTGCTCCACAGCGTCCAGAATGATAGTGAATCGCGCATGCGGGTAGCCGCTGCTGGCTGGTTCTACTCACCAATCAGAGGCTCCCTTTATAGGTAGGCGTGAACTCCAGCTGGCCAATCAGTCGGTAGTGGGTGTGTAGTGTCGGCTTTGCATGAAGCTGACCGCCGGAGATCAGTTCCAATAAAACCGGTCAGCTGATCATGGAAAAAACTCTAAATATGCCAATGTGAACACATTTAACCTACCAGGGCCGGGCCAAGCCAACCAAGATGTGAAGGCCCTAAAAGGAGTCCAAAGTGGGGCAAGAACATCTCCCCCACACTGTTGCTTCAGCAGCAGCCTGAAGCTCAAGGCAGGATGGATCCATGCTTTCTGATTCGACCATCTGGATGTGGATTTATCATCAGATTTATTTTTTCCTCAGGCTTTTATGTAGGAGTTTCCATTCCTAAGCTGACAGGAGTGGGGACCCACCCAGTGTGCTCTGCTGCTGCAGTCATCTCCTTCATGGTTCAACATGTGGCATATTTAGAGATCGTGTTCTGCAGACCTTTATTGTAACATTTCAATCCAAAGCGTAGATGTTTTCATAACTCCACATTTAAACGTCATCAAAGATTCATTACAGATGGTTATAACTTTAGCTTTATTATCTTTAACCGCTACAGCGGACCTGACCAAAAGCACACTGTTGTTGTGAAGAGGTTGCTCAGGATGGGCCTTCCTTCATTTCATGAAACATCCTCATCAGCTCTAGAGGTTCCAGAACTGTCCCCAGTACAGACCTAGCTTTCTAAATAAGATCAACCAACTTTTACAGTCGCTGGAGCTGATGATTCTATTGATGAATCAATTCTGAAAACCCAGACCAGGTCATCTGGCACCAACAACCACACTTCAAGTCTCTGGAATCTTCCTTTTTCATCTTTCAGATGTTCAGGTTGGACTTAATGAAGTCCTCTTCACCTCTAGATGGGTAAATTTTATGGTTTGCTGCTACGTGATTGGATATTTCTGGTAAAAACCAATTAATCTGGCCCAAATGAAGTGGTCATTGACTTTAAATATGTGTGTATATGATCCACTATCCACTTTCTGCTATAAGATGAGCCAAGACTCACAAATAACGAATTCAAAGCAACAGATTCACCATGACAACCATCCCAGAGGAAACCTTAACAGAGACGCCATCTTGTAATCTGTGCTTTTTACATTTTAATAGATCTTTGGTCCAACTTCACACCATCTGAACTTGTCTGACTTCCCCTCACGTAGCGACGTCTCTCTCCCCTGCAGAAGATGATCTTGTTCCTGCTTCTTGTCCCACGTTGTTGGACGCCTGCGTTCTTTCTGGTTCACCATCTCAAACGGAAACAAATAACTAAACAAAACATTTGATAGAAGATCAGGAGGAATTTAAAGGCATTTGTTTACCGAGTCTTCTGGATGGCGTGCCCTGTGAGGTGCCGAGTGACGGATGTGAAATTACATCTTTGTTGGGATGGCGCCTACCAGTGGTGGTGGGAGGAACTGGACGCACCAGTACTCCGCACCTCCGGCAGCTGTGGCTGCGTTGTAGCTTATCACCACCAGGGAGTGAATGTGTGTGAATGGGTGGATGACTGATTGTGTTGTAAAGTGCCTTGGGGGGTGCTATATCTAATACAGGCCATTTACTAAAACTAAAAAGTCAGTTTTCCTTCCTCTCATCAGATCTCTGATTGGATTTAAAGGTTCATCACAAAACTTTGAGGACATCAGCAGCCATAACACTGATCACATGATCCCACCAGTAAGACCTGTGTCCTCCATAGGCTCTCTTTACACCTAGGGACTCTGGTGAAAGTGTAAATGTTGTTTCCGTGTTACTCGCTGCACTCACTACATGTAAATTGATTTCCGATGTTGAGAATAATGAGCCTCTCCGCATCCTTCTGATTGGGAGTTTCCTCGGGCTGACTGGCACCTCCAGCTACAGCTCTGCAGAGTTGCGTCAGAGCATTGCCTTGTTGCAGTCAAACCCACTGAGATCACACTGTTGTGTGTGTGTGTGTTCATGTGTAGGTGATGTGTAGGGGCCTTTGTCACTATGGTATGGGGCCATACTAGATGGCTTCACAGACTTGACCATCAGAGAGAGAGAGGGAGAGGGAGAGAGAGAGAGATTCTGCAGTGCCTCCCATCAATCTCCCTGAAAGAACTAGGACTCTGAGAAATTATGATTTTAATAACTCATCAATTAAAGTGAAGCAGACGTTCTCCTGTATGCTGCTGTTTTCTCTGCCCTCTGTCCTCTTCTGTGTCCATCTCTCATATTTCAGTCTCTTAATACTTATTACCGTCTACCTTTGCCCCGTCTCGCCTTCCTGTCCATTGACTGCCCTTATTTTGATATTGAAAATAATGTGATTAAGTTGTTTACAGGGCCAGCAGATACGATTCTGTTAATATCAGTCTCTATGCAACCATGTGTTGCTTTACTAGATTATCCTGGTGGCTAAAAATAATCAGCATCTTCTGTCATCAGCCGGAGTCATATTCATCCCTCTGGTTCTCTTCTACAACTTTGGAGCTTTTTTCCTCCACGGACTCTATCTATCTATCTATCTATCTATCTATCTATCTATCTATCTATCTATCTATCTATCTATCTATCTATCTATCTATCTATCTATCTATCTATCTATCTATCTATCTATCTATCTATCTATCTATCTATCTATCTATCTATCTATCTATCTATCTATCTATCTATCTATCTATCTATCTATCTATCTATCTATCTATCTATCTATCTATCTATCTATCTATCTATCTATCTATCTATCTACTGTCTGTGTAGTGACGGACGTCCGTCCCTCCGTTATTCCTGAATTAAAAATGTGGTTCACTTTTTTATTGATTATTCCTGATCATAACGGGCCACTCTGACTTTTTCATGCCGCCTGAACATGAAAATAGTCTCCTACATCCATCTCCTGCATCAGCTTCTGACAAAAAACAGATCTACGTCATTTAACATTCTTGAACTTGCCCATCTTGACTCATGATGGGGAAGGCTGTTGTTGGTTTGGCGTCCGGGAGATGTCAGAGAACGTCTCAGCTAGTAGAAGCTAACCACTTACTTTAGCAACTCCACCACACGGCAGAACTCCTCCAGGTTTGTGTTATTTGTGGAGATCAACATTGCAAGTCGGTAGTAGAGTCGCGTTGCTGTTGTCCGATCTGGGGCGAGATGTTCAAGTATCAGGAAATAAGACTCAGTTCGAATGTGGCGATGATTCCTTCTAGAGACCCCTGCAAACGAGTGAACCACACCTTTAAAGCTCCGTCTTTTATCAGTAAACAAAAATAAAACATGTCCACATTCTCTCTCTGCAGGAAGAAGTGAAGCGGTACCATCGCTGCTGCAGCCATGGTGGAGGGCAGCCGGTTCAGAAGATGGAGAGGTTAGTCGCTCACATCCGTTTAATGTTACATAGACCTTTACTAAACAAGAACACCATACTTTCTTATAAAAGACATCCTAGCAGTGAGTTGTTCCATAACGGAGACTCGACTACGAAGACACAGGGTTTAGAGAACAGCAGAGTTCACTTAGAAATTCACGGTTGGGCCCTGGCAGGATGGCCTGGGGTCTCCATGCCCTGGGTGCCATTTTGAAAACAGAGGTGCCTATTGGGGCCAGTGGGAGAGCTGGCTCCCTGGAGGGCTAAAGCCTGATTTATGCTTCTCCGTCTGCGTCAGTGTGGAGACGCGCAACGCCATTATCCGTCCTTGCGTAGGGCTCCGGCAGGCACGCAAGTACGTAGGGAGTTGAGCTCACTTTTTTAAACATCCGTCGAACGAGACGGATTACGCAAGCTTGTGATTGGTCAGGACGCCGTTGTTTACAGCTCTGCCATTGCGCCCTCAAAAACCTAAAGAGAGCCGAGGATAACTAGAGGCAGACACGGAGCAGCTTGAAGAATACCTCGCGAAAAAACTCTAAAAGCATGAACGTTAAATTCCCCGTGACTGGAGGAGTGAAAAGATGCGCAGCAAGCGTTTTATTTGTGGACGGAAATGACAGGAAACGTGGGTTTAGAGGTGGGGAGCGCATGAAGTGGAGGAGAATGAGAGACAAATATGGCCGTGTTAAAAAGTCTCTTATATATACAAAAAACACAATATAAACACACGGTCTTGGACCGATACATGACAGGATACCACAGAACAGCACTACGCCCTCTGTTGTCCTGCAGGGCAATTGCTTTGCAACACTCTCCAGGAGTGGGCAAAGCAACTGCTTTGTGGGGGGAGCAAAACGCTTCCATCAATCCGTGCGTGTCTGTCCCCTGTGGAGCTGACGGAGAAGCATAAACCAGGCTTTAGTCCAGCCAGCCATTCCGCCCCATCCCCACACATTTATCTCCTCCTGCTCCCTCACATCATCACACAAACATGCACATACGACCTTGGGGGGTGGACAAGTCAGGGAGTGCGGGTATGGACCCCATTTCTGCATTCCTGTGGCAACCTGCCCCCCCCCCCCCCCCCCCCCCATTTTATTTGCACCTTAAACACGTCCACCAACGACATTCCACGCAAACACACTTAGGGCCTTGGGAGTGAGCACATTCAACGGCATTTGGCAGGGGGATTTCTCAGCCTCATCCCTAGTGCCGGTGCCCACTTCCAATTTTAAACCGCACTTAGACACTGAGGGATGTGGGTGCAAGTGGGGTGGTGTGGTGGCATCCGCTGGCATAGGCCAGACGATGCCCGCACTGCCCGCTCACCACAGCCATGGCATACACCTCATCAACACTCACTAACACCATATTGGAGCACGCGGAGGGAGACTCGGGGTCTTAGCACACCTCTGTTGTTGCTTGGCTTCCTGGGGCTGGAGGCTAGGAGGGAGATCCGGCCGTCAGGTTGGGGTCTGGGGTGGTGGGTTGCTGTGCTCAGCGTTGGGCGGGGGAGCCTGCTCATCAGCACCTCAGCAGAAAGGGTCGAACTCTGGGAACCAGTAATGGTTGTACCCCATGTGCAGCAGTACCGGGATCAGAGTGAATAGGGTGTGTATGGGGAGCATGAGTGGGTGTCTGGCGGGCATTTTTGTAAGTCTTTGGTTGTATGTGTATGTGTGAGCATGAGGGAGGGAGTGTGTGACTGTGTTTCTGTATGACTGTATATGTCAGGTGGGGCCTTTGACTCCTCCCTTCGCCTGGGACTTCTTTTGGTGATATAGATCTTCTCTCTCTCACAAGTATGGGCTTGGGCACGTTCAACACGTCTTAAGGCTGTGGTGGGAACTTAATGCACTGTGATTTATAATCGTGTGATTGTTCAGTTAAACAATGTTGATTTTATATTTCATCATCAGGTTGACACAGTGATAGCTTGATCTTGTTGTATTGTTGTTGTGTCCCTTTTTTTTGTTTGTTTTTTGTTTTTTTCCCGTCTCTCTTTCAGCAGGTCTAGAAGCAGTCTCTTGTTCATTATTGTTTATTTTTGTGGACCCCCCATCGTTTGTCTTTTCCTTTCTCTTTCACCTCGGTCTCCGTGTCTGGTCGGAATTACAAAGCATTCAAAAACAGTAACAATAAAGTTTTAAGTAAAAGCAGAAACTTTGATGCTCCACCTGAGAGTAAATCTGTAAGGCTTGTCACCAGCATTCAGACATCAATTCTGCTTGCTTCACAGCCAGACAGGACACACACACACACACACACACACACACACACACACACACACACACACACACACACACACACACACACACACACACACACACACACACACACACACACACACACACACACACACACACACACACACACACACACACACACACACACACACACACACACACACACACACACACACACACACACACACACACACACACACACACACACACACACACACACACACACACACACACACACACACACACACACACACACACACACACACACACACACACACACACACACACACACACACACACACACACACACACACACACACACACAGAAATTCACGGTTGCTTTTATTGCATTTTTTTGTCACAGAAGCTGCACTTGTAAGACCGAGGAAGAAAACAAAAGTCTTCATCAGTGTGATCAGCAGCAGAGCTTGGAGATGAAGGCCACTGTGTGAGTATCGCCTGGAATATTTATCCGTCAGTCCGATTGTTCTAAATAACCAACGTCGTGTGTTTTCTGCTTTATGACCTCATTTACATTTTACCCGCTTGTTTGGTTGTGTGTAAGAAATTAAATTTGTTTTCAGGTTGTTTTTTTTTATACCTGAGCTCAGAGCACTGAGGTCATGAGCTCTTCTGGACTCAGACTCTTATAACAGGACAGCTCTCACCTCAGGCTTTTACTCCTCTGAAAGTTAAAGATGGTGAAGAAGAACCTTTTCTGTGCACTGATGACCCGTTGAACCGGGACACCGGAGAGGTGGGATAGAAAGGAGAGAGAGAGAGAGACAGAGTACGAAACCGAGATGAATGAAGGCAGAGTGAAATGGATCGGTTATAGAGCTGGGAGTTATGACTTAATTCAATTTGTTCCATTTGGTTCGGCTGTCTCTGCTCCACTGGAGGTGAATGTGTCTTCATCCATCCTGGACTTTGGTGCTGGTGTGGCGATGGGGATGAAAAGGAGCTGAATGGTGATAGATGAAGCTGGAACTTTTAATAAGGGGCATGAATCAAAAAGGGGGGGGGGGGGGGGGCATTAAGAACCATCTTAAACCCAAGCAGGAGTAAAAATCCAACATATTTATAAACATACATTTTCCCTTCGCTCGTCCAGGGTCAGGTCACGGTGGCAGCAGCCTAAGCTGGGAGGCCCAGACTTCTCTCCCCAGCCACTTGGGCCAGCTCTTCCGGGGGAATCCCGAGGCGTTCCCTGGCTGGCCGAGAGACATGGTCCCTCCAGCGTGTCCTGGGTCTTCCTTTAGGTCTCCTCTTGGTTAGACGTGCCCGAAAAACCTAACCAGGGAGGCGTCCAGGAGGTATCCCAACCAGATGCTCGAGCCACCTCAACTGGCTCATCTTGACGTGGAGGAGCAGCAGATCCACTCTGAGCCCCTTCTGGATGACCGAGCTTCTCACCTTATCTGAGGGAGAGCCCAGCCACCCTGCGGAGAAAAGTCATTTCGGCCGCTTGCGTCCGTGATCTCGTTCTTTAGGCCACTACCCGAAGCTCGTGACCATAGGTGAGGGTAGGACCGTAGATCGACCGGTAAACCGAGAGCTTTTCCTTCCAGCTCAGCTCTCTCTTCACCATCACTGTAGACGCAGCACCCATCCACCTGTCGATCTCACGCTCCATATCTCCTTCATTTGTGAACAAGACTCTGGGATACTTAAACTCCTCCCCCTGCAGAAGGCATTCTACCCTTTTCTGACTCAAGACCATGGTCTCAGATTTAGAGGGCCTGATTCTCATCCCAGCTGCTTCACACTTGGCTATGAACCGCTCCTGCGAAAGCCGGAGATCACGTTCTGATGAAGCCAACAGGACCACATCCTCTGCAGAAAGCAGAGACCTGATCCTCAGGCCACCAAAACAGATCCCCTCACCTCCTTCAGAATATAAACTTTACATGTTTTTCTGTCCTTAATGATGAACGAATGACTTTCTTTAAAGGAAAGTCTAAAAAAAACTATATATCAATCTTTAAAATCTTTTTTTCTCCAAGACAACTTTCTGCTGTTTGGTTAGAAGACAAATAAAAATCTGTAAACAGGTAAACAGAATAAAATATTTAATCATCTCTTACCAAACAGCTTCTTCGATGTTGTGCTAATTAGTTTTGTCACCAGAGATTTTAGACGGTGTGATTATTTAATTTGTGTCCTCTAACAAAACGGTTTTTGTTTGTAGGATCCAGCGGGCCTGGCGTGCCAGTCTGTCCCGTAAAGTGAGCGTGGAGATCCAGGACAACGACCGCAGCAGACGCCAGTGGGGGGAGACGCCGCCTCCAGAGAGCATCGGTGACCCTGGGATGGCCACCGATGTTTTCCCGGTAAGACCGCAGACGGAGAATCAAACAGAACACCATATGGTGTTAGATACAAACCAAGCCAGAAGCGAGAGAGATGTCTGATCGCCCGCTCTGTTTGACTTATCAGCTCTCGTCTGTTGTTCCTCTTGAGTTCAACAAACAAACAAACAAACAAATGAACGAATAGACTAATAAACGAGAGCAGCGGAGGGGCGGACGGAGGAGGGATGTTTTCTTTGAGTCTTTCCAGGGGGGAACCACAGGGGTCGTATTGGTGAAGGTGGGCTAGAGGCCAGCTGGCACCCTGCCCCGATCTGTAATTACACGTTAATTAGTTGGATTTTCAGAGGCGGTTGATTGATTAATGAAGTGCTTCCCCCTCGTTCCACCGTCAGCCCTCCACCCACTTCTCACCCCTGTTTTTAGTCCTGAGGGAGGGTGGGGGAGCGTGAAACAGCTCTCACGGGGCACGGCAGCCAAACAAAAGACAGAAAACAAAGCAGCAGATAGAAGAAGGGAAAGAACCACGATGGAGCAGCAGAAGCACAGATGAGGAGATGAATTTGGAGATTTCTTCAGATCGCCTCAAGTTCCAAGTGTCAGATAGGTGCTCACACTCTGAGCTGCTTTTCTTCTGTGTGTGTGTGTGTGTGTGTGTGTGTGTGTTTGCACGCACATGCAAGTGTGTGATCATGCAGCAAGACACACAAACCAAACACACACACACACACACACACCTGCCCACGCTCTTTGCAGAGACTGAAAATATGATGTCATGTCTCTGTACTCACTAGTGTTTGTGTGGGCTGCATTTATTCCCTACTGTTGGATTTTTTTTTTTTGTCCTGTAGCAAACTGATGGGCTGATGTCCTGCTGAGACCCTGAGTAAATAAATGTGTGACTGTGCTCCATCTTTAGCTTGTTTGTTCTGGTTTACAGAGCTTCTTGCTCATCAAAAAGCAACCAGATGTGATTAATGTTGCAAGCAGACGATCAGGGATCTTTAACTACTAAATACCTGTTTGACACGACTGTGTCTACACACTGTTTCTATAACACTCTATACTATAAATACTATACTTTCTATAACACTCTATACTCTATACTCTAAATACTACACTTTTTACAACACTCTATACTTTATATACTATACTTTCTATAACACTCTATACTCTAAATACTGTACTTTCTATAACACTCTATACTCTATACTCTAAATACTACTCTTTTTACAACACTCTATACTTTATATACTATACTTTCTATAACACTCTATACTCTAAATACTGTACTTTCTATAACACTCTATACTCTATACTCTAAATACTATACATTCTATAAAACTCTATACTCTATACTCTACACTCTAAATACTATACTTTCTATAACACTCTATACTATATATACTATACTTTATACAACACTCTATACTCTATACTCTATATACTATACTTTCTATAACACTCTATACTCTATATACTATACTTTCTATAACACTCTATACTCTATACTCTAAATACTGTACTTTCTATAACACTCTATACTCTATACTCTAAATACTATACGTTCTATAAAACTCTATACTCTATACTCTACACTCTAAATACTATACTTTCTATAACACTCTATACTCTAAATACTGTACTTTATACAACACTCTATACTCTATACTCTATATACTATACTTTCTATAACACTCTATACTCTATATACTATACTTTCTATAACACTCTATACTCTATACTCTAAATACTATACTTTCTATAACAATCTATACTCTATATACTATACTTTCTATTACACTCTATACTCTAAATTCTATACCTTCTATAACACTCTATACTCTATATACTATACTTTCTATAATTCTCTATACTCTAAATACTATACTTTCTATAACACTCTATACTCTTGGAAAAAGAATCATTATTCTTGTGCCAAATTTGAGTGAGAGTCAAAACCGAGACATCTTTTATACCACATCAACCTTATCTCTGAAAGCAGGCTGGTAGGACTTTATCCTTTCATTTAGAAATAAAGTCCTTTAGCAGTTTTTCATGTTTTGTCAAGTTTCAATAGTAGTTGAGTCATTTTAATTCATCACATGCATACAGGCATATCAGTCATGCAAAGCCGTATTTGTTTTTCACTTTTTAGATGATTTTCTAAAGAAGCCTGTTAGTAGCTGGAGTTGGTAGAAATGTTTTTATTAGGAGTGGGACTCGATTAAAAAAATTATCTAATTAATTAGAGGCTTTGTGATTAATTAATCGCGTTTTAATCGTTCGGGAAAATGTGTCCTCAAAGCAATTTTTAAATCAAAAATAATGAGGCAGAGAATCAAACATTAGACATGGATGTTATTACTGTAAACTCAAGCTAAATACTCAAATACAAATACATAAACATAAACAATCTCTTTTAATTCCTAAAAAAAATGCAGTTTTATTATTCAAATGTCACTTTGTGATATGAACAAATACCCAAATCAATTGAAATGTCTAATTACAAATAGAAAACAGCTGCAAAGGGTTCCTGAGCCTTTTAAATGGTTTGCAAGTCACAAGTAAGTCAGGAAGTCTTTCCAGTCACGTCTTGAGTCAAGTCTCTAAATACTAAATACAGAGGGGTGGGTTGAATGTGGAGATGTAATTTCACGTGTGCATGTGATGACTAATGGGGCTCAATGTGCTTAACTAAACCCCTTTATAACATTTGAAGGTCATTGGAATGGTGTACTGTTGGCTCGACAAATGACTCAAAGTTGAGTGTTTTCATCCTGCAGGTTTCAACCAGCCGGTTTCACATCTGTTCATTTATTAGACAACAGATGTTAAACTTAAAATTTCCACCAGAGAAAAATCTAAAAGTTAGGTTTGCATCAAGGCCTTTTGCACATTTCTCAAGACATTTTTAAATGTGATAAGGTTCTTTACAAAAACCAATATGATCGCTTTTTTAAGTTTTATCTCTTTTTTATGTATGTTTGTTCTTTTTTATTTAATTTTTTTTAAAGATGACAGCTTTTATTTTTAGTTTAGTTTAGTTTTCTCATCATAAAAAGCTCTCTAGAGAACTGATGCATCTTCAACAGCAAAGTCTTAAGTTTTGTTGCTTATTTTAAATACAAAATAGGATTTCACTAAAAGGTTTTTATTAGGGATGCAACGATACCCCTTTTTTCCAAACTGATACAATACCGATACTTGGATCTGAGTATTCGCCGATACCGATTACCGATACCAATACTTCTAGCACACAAAAAAATGCAATGATTTGGAATACAGATTTTATTTTCTTCTCTGATTTCAACAGGAAAAGACTGTGAGGTAGATAAAAAGTAAAATATATGAATAGAAATCGTCACAAAACTAAAATATTAGGTGAAATGAAATGACAAGTTACAGTGAAGCCATTTTCAAGCAACTGCATTGGTATCGGTTCCTGGGATCGGTTAACTTTTACCGATACTGATACTGGAATCCTTAGTTTTTATTTTTCCCAATTGCATCCCATTCAACCAACACTGTTACTCTCATTCTTTCTTCTTTTACTAACCATGTCCAACCTACTTACCTTTTTAAACTCTTAAGTTCTGTAGGATTATGAAAGTCAAGCGATGCTCTTCACTTCAGCACATGGACGTAATTTTCACTTTGGAAGTGGGGGGGGGGGGGGGGGTATCTTTACAGTATGTTCTAATGGGAAACAGGCTTCAACACAAACGGTTGTTTTCCGCTTGGTCCTAGAGCTCAACCAGTGTCAATTTAATATAGCGTAATATTGTTTTTGGATGGTAAAAAGTGCAGGGGTCAAACCTTGACTTTGGAAAAAGTGTGTGTGTGTGTGTGGGGGGGGGGGGGGGGGGGGGGGCATGACCCCCCCCTGCCCCCCCCCCAAAATTACATCCATGCTTCAGCACCTTTACCCTTTCCTTGCATCACTCCATGCTTTCCTCCTACTTCTCCATTTCAATTTTTTTCCTTCTTTTCTGTCTATCACACTCTTCATTTCCTCTGTCCTCATCCACTCCGTATCACTCTCCTGTGGCAGTTTTTCTGTGTTCTGAAGGACACATTAATCAGCGTAGGGCCAGGGTGCCGCATTATTTCTTTGTCAGAGCTCACGTTAGCTTGTGTGGGTTTGAAGGTCCTTGCCGCTGCCCTGTAGGGGAGTGGGGAAGGTTCAAACATAATTCATACATATTTTATGAAACTCTGATATTGAACACACACGCATGGATGGGGGAGACACTGCAACACACTCTTCGCCTTCCGTTGGGAAACACCCTTGATTTACACCCGCACGAGTAAAACCAACGGCGCCAGAATTCAGCGGTTTGCATCAGCGGCGGGTTGACTTTGCAGCTGCTTGTCCAGGAATGATGGTCTGCTGTAAAACAAGAGCCAGATGTAATATTTATGCACTATGGGCTTGAGCCCTTCATGTCCTGCTCTGGCTCTGCTGATAGTAAATCAATAGGTTTGACTGTTGCAGATACGCTGCTGCTTTATGTTGGCCTGCCTGCGGGAGCTGCTGTGTGAGTGACTGCGTGTTACGGATCCAAGATGGCTGCAGGAAGGAAGAGTTTTTCAAACTGCAAAGGATTTTAATGTGGACAAGGTTTGGTGCATATCTCATGTGGTTCTACCTTCTAACATGAGATAGTACTACCGGTAATTACAGATCATTCTCCAATTAGAAAACAATGGGAACAAAGTTCCTGCAGATAATTTGACCAACTTTTTAGTTCTGCATTGGATTTTTCCAGGAGAGCTCATTTACCTTCATGTTTAAAATTAACTCATTCACTGCCAGCCGTTTCCTGATCACTAACGGCCTTCGCTGCCAGCGTTTCTCGCCGTTTTTGCTGTTTTTTTAAGAGTCACAGAACGTTGCGCGCTAGCATGATGTCGATGCCAAAACAACCAAAACAAAGAGGAGACTCACCTCTTACATCAGGAAGAAGCCGCTTGTTTCGAGCTTTATCCGTTCTGTCATAATCCGTTGTCGAATTGTG